TGTGTGTGTGTGTGTGTGTGTGTGTGTGTGTGTGTGTGTGTGTGTGTTTACCTGTAGTTTCCAATGGTAGGCAGCCCTCCAAAATAGATCTTCTGATGTTCCCTGAGGTTCAGACCAGTAGCTGAGCCCTGAGACGAGGATACTATCTTCTCCTCAGCACCACTGTCGATGTCCACTACGGTCACCGTGGCTTTGTAAACAGTTAAAGTGACGTAAATAACAACAGAACAGGCTGACAGAGATGATATACTTTGACATATTAATCTTAAAAAACACATTATACGCATTCATATTTTGAATACCGCTTGTAATCGTTTTCTTTTCATGTGGAACCAATGTCTTACTTATTGTTTTACGTAATCTAGACTAATATAATTTGAACTAGTTTAGTCTAATTTGGTTTCAGATTATCAAATCTCATTCATGATGTTGTCTTGTCAACCGTAGCGTGGCCTAGTGTGGATTGTTGCTGTTGTGTGTACCTTGTTTCTTGTTTCTTGACATGGTGAGGGACTTCCAGCGCCCGTCATTGTGGCGGCTAGCTGATATGGCACTGCCAACTCCTGACCCTAGATCAAAGTTCACCTTCACCTTGCCCTCTGACAGCTCCAGGGACATAAAGTCCTTCTACAGAGACAGCAGCGGGAAAGAATCCAATAATTCGTTTAAATCAACAGGCTGAAAAAATATACATGTCCTTATTTTATATTTATTTATACATGTATTGCAGGAGTTAAATGTTTTATTACCCAACAGGCTAAACTGTGGATAAAATATGAATATGGAATTTAAAAATGGATTTCAAATTATAAGAGCACATTCTAGACATCGCTCTCAAAAGATTTCTCTTTCTGCAGCTTTGAAAACACGTTATTCTTATTGATTCTCCATCGGTCATGGAGTAAAGATGGTACCTTTAAAATATAAAAGTTAGTCCTGGCTATCAGTTCTGATATTTACATGGGATATAATCATGTGGGTTTCATCCCATTTCACTATGTTGCATACGTACCATATCTTCAGTAGCCAAATACATGAGCAGAGATTCAGAGGAAAATGTGCGGAACTTAAAGGTCACGGAGGAAACATTGGGGTTCCACCTGGTGGGTCGTCCCACTGCGGCGTAACCCTCTCCATCCAGCTGAACTGTCCCCTCAACATCTGAAGGCTGCGGGCTAAAAAAAACAGACAAGAAATAATCCATTTTTGCTATCGCTTCGTTTCACATTCAACTGTCAAAGGAGTTGGAAATGTCAAAAATAAATTGCAAAGTAACAAAGATAATGAAGTGGCCTGTTGTTATTCCATTCTCTCTCTCTCTCTCTTTCTCTCTCGGGGGGGGGGGGCATCCCTAGCGGAGAGCCTACACGGGAACAGCACAACTTTGCCATTGTAACTTTAACTGTGTGCGTTTTTGCCACACTAATTTATAACACTAACAGGCAAAATAACTCCCCTAGCCGGGCCGGGCCGGATGTAACTGCGAGTCCCTCGGCTGTGTTTGATATTGCATACCTAGGTAGGCCTACTGCATACTACATGCTCAATCAGTATGTACTGCATGCTGCCTATTAAATGAACGATTAGGCATAATTTACCACGATTGCAGTTCTCACAATTGGTTCAGTGAAGTGACGGCTGAAGTTTCAAGGCACCCTGTAGCTTCTCTCACGGCTGTTCTGAACAGGCATGTTTTGAACGGCCACTGCACTAGCATTTATAAAATATGAAAACTTTATGAATACGTGTTTGTATACCTGACAACACATCCTTTGCAGTCTCCCTGTCTCTCTCTGTAGTTCCAAAGTCCAATAGGTTTACCATCCAAGAAGGTCTCGCCCATGCAGCCGGTGAACGTTGTTGATCGTACTGCATCGGCTTTCTAAAAGACAGAAGGAGGAGAATTTAGAGATCGACTGACAGGTTTCTTGATGACACAGACGAAGAGACAGACATACCTTGACAGTGCCGAGTATTCCTCCTACAAACAGGTAGGCATTCTGGTCAACGTCCAATATGGTGAAGGCCGTGGGCGAGTTGGCACTGGCCGGGGTCGGCATCATCCCAACCATAGAGCCTTCCAGAGGATATACGGATATGGTCCCATTCAACCCATTACTGGAGACAGAGAGAAGGAGGAAGACAGAGCGGGTTGAGATGTTACTTTGTTTGCCATTCTATATTTCCTGGAAGATATTTACAATGACTGAAGATGTTGAAGCCACTTGGAATCAGTTTTTATGAACTCTTGGTGCTTAAGATGAATGATAGAAATGCGTAGTGGAACAAGTTCGTAGCAGAGGAACCTCAGAGCTGTAAAGTGAAATCTCCCACCTTGGAGTTTGTTTTTAAAGCAGGAACAGCATTTCTCTGTCGAGGAGGGGGACATTTTTAAGACTTATTGTCTGTGTGATCCCATTGGAAAACACATTTGGGAAATCTCGCGCATTGGTAATATATGATGCAGGTGGGACGTCTGCTTGGTGTGAAGGGCTCTGGTGTAGGATGGCCTGTATACAGCACCAATTAAGCTTTCACAGAGAAAAACTAGATCTAGATTACACTGTATCTATGTAATGATGTGCCACACTGTCAAGGCTGCATTTCCCAAGTGAAACTACATGTTTCCCACCGCAGCATGAATGAAATGATGTGCTGTGGTTGTTGGGTTATGTTTGCTGACGCTATCGGTTGTTGTCGTTTGGATTAAGTTGTAGTGAAGGTTAGGAATATATATATTAGTCCTTTTCTTAAATATTTGATATCGAACATCAGTGCCACACCACAAAATAATAATAAAAAAGTAATAATATTAAAAAACATTTTAGTCCGGAGAGTTTGCAAGGAAAAGGGCTTTGAATGAAAAACACTGTATATGTGTCAGAGACACAAAGCATGTGTATGTATGTGTGTGTGTGTGTGTGCTAACTTCTTACCGAGACGCTTCTATTCTGTGCCAGTTCCCATCATGGATGGTGTGATGAGGATATTCCACCCTCCCCACACCTGAACCCACGTCCCAGAGGAAATTCACCTTCCCCTTACGCATCTCTAAGGCAAGGAAATCAACCTGAGACACACAGAAGACATATGCTCAATGCACTGTATATTATCTGTTTTTGAAATATGGCATTGTGCAGTATATTGCTTGTAATAAGTCATCATGTCAACAAGGAATTGAAGTGAGAAAGGAAGGAGAGAGGAGGAGGAGAGAGAAATGAAGACGAGAAATGAAGACGGTTTGTTGTATTGTATCATCTAATTTTAAACCAGATTACTTCAGTTAAACATGTAATTGGCCACCACAAGGCCATCGTATATATACAGATGTATATACATGTATAGCGTGGGTTTTCAAATGTATTTAATGGGTACTCCATGAATTTTGTGCTGCACTGCTATTAAGTTGGGGGTCCTGAAAGAGACGGATTAAATGTCCTGACTTTAAGTCCCTAGTTTACGTAGGTTCAAAATCACTGTCTTACATGTGTAAAATCAGGGAAGTTACCCTTTAAATGCTATCGGGAAAATAACATGGAGGACATTTCTGAAGCAATCCAACACTTTGTGATGGTGGTCATTGCACAAACGAGAAATTGAATTGGAGTTGGGCTGAAAAGCTGGTCAAAGTAGTTTTGTCAGCAGTAAATTTGCCCACTACCCACAATCAAAGTTTCATTTAGTTGCCGCCGGGGGGCTTAAAGTGGGCCTGAACGATCAAGAGCGGCGTTCTGGCACCTTCTATTAATAAGTAAATATATCTGATGGCAGTTTCATACATTAGGATGTCAAGTGAGTTCATTTTTTTTGTGCTGCAGTGTGGTTGTTCCTTCCAGGCTTATGGCATCGAGATGCTCACTCAACAAATCAGACAGTAATTTGGCCCCGCTGCACCAATACACCCGCGGATCATACAGGAATAAGCACTGGAAGCGAAACGTAAGCGAGACGTGAGGAAGACTCGGTCTTCTGTAAACCCAGAAATCAACAAATCTACAGTAGCATGTATTGACTTATTGATTATATTTCCTCGCCCACCGTAGGGAGTGAGGGGAACCTGCCTGTGGTGAAACACAAAACACATATACAACAGGATATTTGTGGTTTTAAAGGGGGCCAGCGCACCTTAATATAAATCCTGCCCCCCCAACTGTGGTGATACATTTTATTAAAGGAAGCCTATTTGTTCCACGAGACATGCGAGTGACAGAAGTTAAATGGCGCTTCTGAAAACGCTTTCTATGTATGTGGATTGGCTGTTAGGGTTCCCCACACATGCCAAATCCCATTTTAACCCCCGGTTGTCTCCTAGCTTTTCAGTCCGACAACAATGAGCATTATAAATGCTCTGTAATCAGATAGCGGATTAACCATGACAAGTTTAAGTTTGTATTCAGGCAAGTTATGCATACTGATCATCCTCACAAATCTCAAACAGAGGTCGTCAGATACACCTCTGGCCATCAGGTGTGATTACAGTCTGTGTCCAGATAAGCAAAGAATGGATTGTGCAACATTTACTTTAAATAATGCAATAAATAAAACACATAATCATTTCTTGTTTTCTCTGCATGCAACTCTTGCATTTGCTCCTGAGATGAGAGAACACGAGTTACGCAACACTGTCGGCAGTGATGCGAAACGATGATGATTAATAGGTACCCAAAAATTTCAATTGAGATTACTTACAACAGAGAATCCTATAGAGTATTTATCATTGAATGAGTGAATGAGTGAATGGTGGAGCGACTTCACACCTCGCTCTGGTCTATTCTGAGGGTACAAAGACTGACGTTTCCTCTATCTGTCTCTACGAGTGAATTTTCGCAGGATCTTGCTGTATTTTGATTAACGGTCGTATTACTTACGTATGAGCCCCAAAAAAATTAATAAGAGAATTTTTAGCGTATGCTCTCATCTGGATATTGTCTTTGAAGTACACATTCACACACAGACATTATTATTCATATAGTATTATGCACAATTAGAGATTATTAGGGAGTCGCATTTGAAGACACAAATGACACATATACGCACACATAACTACACACACTTATCTTTCTAGTCTCTCCAGGGTAATGACGATTATTCATTAGCACAGATCACAGGGCAGCGTCGTCGTTATTCAACTGGCACAACACACTATTAGTGAAATGGTGGAGGTGCACGCGCAAACACACACACACACACAAATAGAGCATTACTATTCATACTGAATTCTTCCCTATTAGAGAATATTAGTGAGACACACACACACACACACACACACACACACACACACGCTTGCATGCGCGTTCAAGACTTCCCAGTCAGATGAAGCAAAGCAGTGATTTCTCAGGGGAAATCAGGCTAAAGCAGATAGCAACATCAACTTGTTGTTAATTGCTGCTGCTCCCTAGGACACACACACACACACACATATATGCATAAAATACATACCCACACACACGCACACTTAGGGATTATCAGTGGTACCTTAAAACAGCAGTGTGCTATGTTTATAAGGGTGTTAGTGAGTGATGTGTCAAGAAGAATTAATTATTCTCATATTAGACAAATCACTTTGGGAGTGTGTGTAGGCCGAGTGTGTGTGTGTGTGTGTGTGTGTGTGTGTGTGTGTGTGGCTTAGAAAG